GGTGACGATTAAACGTGGCATCTCCAGACATCATGCGGGGGACTGGAATGAGGAATGAACTCTAAGGGTGCCCGCTCTCAGCGGTGCTTACAACCTGGTGAGACAGAGACCTAGTACATAAGCAAAGGTCTGGTCTGGGTGCCTAAGCCATAGTGACACACTGCAGGGAATTATGAGACAGTCTCTCATCTCTGAATTGAGCACAGGAAAAGATAAGCATTGTGAATCACTTAAGGAAAAAATAAGGCAATAATAGTTTCTAACTTGCTAAGACATGTAAAAGAGCTAGAAAATTCACATTAAAAGCTGTTGTTTTCAGCAGGGGTGATTAGGTAAGGCTGTCCTCAATATTCAAGAAACTACTGTAATGTGCAAAGCTTGGAAGGATATACACGAGTGATAAATATCATACTAGACAGTTTTGACTGAATATATATTATTTAATCCTACAACCACCTCAGGGGCAGTATTAATGTACTCATTTTATAGTCAGATGTTGATAACGCAAGGGATGAGCCAAGATTGAACATGGGATAAACTGGTTCAAAGCCTATGATCCTCCTCTTACATTACGGCTCCTGGTCCAAGGAGGTTTGTTCTCCTGAGATCTAGAGTCAGGGGAAACCGGAGCTGAAAGGTCAGAGGTCAGCAGTCCGGGCTGGGAGCAGACTGAAGTAGTCTCATGCTTTTCCTGACAGGTTCTTCACTCCGGATGTCCTGCCTCTCAGCTCCCAGGTCTCTCATAGATTCCAGATGTGGCTCAGCCCCCACCATCTCCATTTCGCCTGATTCCCTTTTTCTCCCCTCTCCTATCCCTTGCCCTCTGCGCACCTCCTTTCCAACCCTTGATGAGGGAGAACCTTAAAACATTTGTTCCTTCACACTGCTTTACTCAGACACTCGCACTACTGGAACATATCGGGAAAATGTCGGAAGTGTACGGATGGTTCCTGACCCTCAGGGACACAAGCCTGGGCTGGGGGTGGTAACAGAGGTCTGTCACCCCTCTGACTTGTCCCGCCTGTACGATGGATCCATCGGTGGGCTTCCAGGGCACTCTTTCGTTTAAAGGTTTTCCCACACTGGGAACAAGGGAAGGGCCTCTCAACAGAATGGATGCGTCTGTGGCTGTTGAGGACGCAGGAAGAGGTAAACTGGTGCCCACACTCGGGGCAGGAGTAGGGCTTCTCCCCTGTATGTGTGCGTCTGTGGATAGCCAGCGAGCCGCTTTGCCGGAAGCAGCGGCCACAGTCGGGGCACGCGTAGGGCTTTTCCCCTGTGTGAATGAGCTGATGCTGGAGCAGGTTATTTTGCTGGGCAAAGCGGGCACTGCAGTGGGTACAAGGGTAGGGACGCTCACCAGAGTGGACCCGTTGGTGATTGGTCAGGAGGGAGGGGTAGGCAAAGCCCCGACCACAGTCAGAACAGATATGGGGCTTCTTCCTAGTGTGGGTGCGCTGGTGGATAGCCAAGAGGGAAGGGTGTGTAAAGTGGCGTCCACACTCGGCGCACACGTACGGCTTCTCCCCACCATGTCTGTGTCTATGGATGGCCAGCGCCCCGGTCTGGCGGAAGCAGCGGCCGCAGTCTGGACATGAATACGGCTTGTCCCCTGTATGGAGCAGCTGGTGCTGGACGAGGTGAGCCCTCTGGGAGAACTGAACCCCACAAGGTCCACAGACGTATGGACGGTCTCCAGAGTGGATTCGCCGATGCCTGACCAGCATGGAGGGGTAGGCAAAGAGCCTCCCGCAGTCTGGGCAGGAGAAGGGCTTCTCCCCTGTATGTATGCGCATGTGGACAGCCAGGTTGCCTCTTTGGCGGAAGCAACGTCCACACTGGCCACAGGGAAAGGGCCGCTCCCCCGAGTGGACCCGCTGGTGGCTGGCTAGGAGGGAGGGGTAGCTGAAAGAACGGTTGCATTCCAGGCAGGGGTAGGGCCTCTTGGGAGTCTGGGTGCACTGCTGCCCCGGGTGTGCAGACGGCTGAGGCAACGGATGGCTAAAGTCCCTGAAACTAGGAACCAGCCTGGCCTCCACCGGTGGCGCGTTCCTCCCTGGGGCATCCTCAAGCTCCTCGGCCCCGATTTTGCTGCTGGGTTCGTTCTTTCTCTTGCTTTCTAAAGAGACAAGAGAATTGAAACAGAATTGTTGAGTGCTTGTACGATCATGCCTGTGTTTTCCCTCTGTTCTAGACCCTGTTACGGAGCCCCCCAGGCTCATCTCAGGCAGCAGCTCCCCATTCCATGGCCGCCAGGCCCTTTTGTCCCCCCTCATGTAGGGCTTGGAAAACAGCAGTTTGTCACAAGGTGGGGGATCCTACTGCCTGTTGGAAACAAGCAATCACCTGCTGTGTTAAAGGCCCTAAATGCGGGCATTTCAGCAGGGACGGAGATTTCTCCAGGCACTGGAATGGACTGCAGGTCAGTGTATATAAAGCCGCAGTCACCACCTGCGCCAAAATTACCGGGGTCACTAAGTGAACGTCTGGCCCCTTTCTGAGGCATGCAGACACTCTGGGAACATGAGAGAGCAAGGCTCAGTAAATTTCTAACCCGAACTTCTCTTCCCCCAAACTCGCTGTCCTTGATCCAAGGTCTGAGAAAGGGAACTTTGGAAGAGAAGGCTCAGGGGATTCCCACCAACTGGGCTCTGTAAGAGAGGCTGTGTGTGGGAAGGAGGCTGCGGGAAGAAAGGGCCTGCCCTGGCTCGCTCCCATGAGAGCCTGCAGTCCGCCTCAGCTCCACCTTCCTCACCTAGCCCAGATCCTGGGTGCCTGGCCCCCTCCTCGGGATCCTCGGCCTCCGGGCTCCACACCTCCTTCTTTCTCTCCAGCCAGGAGATGAGGGCCGGTTTGGGGCCTGCGAATCCTAAGGGAGGAGAGGCCGACAGCGGACAGGGTAAGAGGATGGAGCCTAGACAGGGCGCTTCCTCCGCAGGGGTGAGTACAGCCTTCTGAACCCGAGCAGAGAAGACCCTCCCCAACAACAGACACTCAGGCGCGTTCGAACCCGAAATCTAAAAATCTCCGTGTCACAAAAAGAGAAAGAAGGGGTGGGCCGGGCCTCACCGAGCGCGCCCAGGTGGCCGTAGGTCTCCCGCATCACGTCCCGGTACAGGGCCCTCTGCGCGGGCCGCAGACAGCCCCACTCCTCGGGGGAGAAGTACACGGCCACGTCCGCGAAGCTCACGGCGCCCGGCCTCCCTCGCCCCGACTGGGTCTCCTCCTGCCAGCCGGCGAGGCGCGGGGCCCGGGGCGGCGCCATGGGTCCAGAACCACCGCCCTCCTCCCACCCCCCCACCCCCGCGGTTCGCCGGCGGGTCCGGGGTTCTAGACGCGGCGGGGCCGAACCCGGCCGCTGCTCGGGCACAGAGAGCCTCCCAGGAGGCCCGAAGGGCACCGGGACCAGCCTCTCGTGGGGCCAGTGCAAACCCCTCCGGAGTTATTCTTACGGGTCCTGCAAGGACCTGGGTTAGAGCACCGGAGGATGCCTGCTGCCACGGTGGAAGCACCGGAGACGCTCGGCCGCACCGGGGCTGGAAACCCTTCGCCCTCAAGGATAATGGCACCACCCGGCTTCACGCCCTTCTCCCTCC